GGAGGAACAAATGAGATCATTCACATGAAAGCACTTTCATTTCTCAGGTTTAAGGGATTGTGGTTTTTATCTAGGTTGACCATTCAAGCTAAAAAATGGACTGAAGCTCGGGTTTCATTTCCAGACCAGTGTTCATCCTCGAAATTGATGAAACTCTATAGATTTCCCTCTTGATTGCCCCTGCTCACATGGATATTCCCAGTGCAAATATTGCTAACCACGGTTTTGATGTTTACATGCTGCCTTACATTGATATTTTACTATTCGGTGTTTGTTCTAACTTGTGTCCAATCAATCAATTTCATGTGGTTTATATAAACTCTTTGGTGGCTGTGATGGTTCATTTTAGGTGTCAACTTGCCTGATTAAGGGAAACGGAGATAGATAGTTACAGTATTATTCCTGAGCATGTCTGTGCAGAAGTTTCCAGAAGAGACTGGCATTTCAATCAGTAGCTGTGTAAGGAAGATCCCCCTCACCAATGTGGGTGGACACCATCCAATCTGTTGAGGGCCTGGATTAAAAAAAAAAAAAAAAAAAAAAAAACAAAGGAAAGATGGATTCAGTCTCTCCCGGGACAGCCATCTTCTCTTGCCCTCAGATATCAAAACTCCAGCTTCTTGGCCTTCAAACTCCGGGACTTAACCAGCGGCCCCTCAGGTTCTCAGGTAGTCCACCTCAGTCTGAGAGTTACACCATCCACTCCTCTGGTTCTCAAGCCTTTAGACTCAGACTGAAACACGTCACTGGCCTCACTGGTTCTTCAGCTTACAGACAGCATATCTTGGGACATCTGAGCCTCCATAACTTATTTCCATAATAAATCCCCTCCTGTTTATCTACCTATCCATCCATCGATCCCACTGATTCCGTTTCTCTGGAAAACCCTAAGACAATGCATACATTAAATATTTCTTTTACTTTACATTCAGGACCTAGCACCATGCCCCTAGAAGACCCAGTAAAGATCTGTTGAACAAACTGTAAGAATGAACACAGCACTGCAAGTGCCAGGAACTGGTCCTCCCAAACAACGTGGAGAAAACCCAGTTCCAGATTCGGGAAGTGATACCATATGTCTGGCAAAGACTCTTTACTCTTGCAAGTGTCTTCTTCTGGCTACAACAGAACTTTACTTTCCAGTGTTCTTAGTCTCCCTAACTTCTGCACTTCATGTTATAAGGCAGATAAAAACTCTGGTTACTCATGCCTATAATCCCAGCACTTTGGGAGGCCAAGGTAGGCGGATCACGAGGTCAAGAGATTGAGACTATCCTGGCCAACATGGTGAAACCCTGTGTCTACTAAAAATACAAAAATTAGCCAAGTGTCGTGGTGTGCCTGTAGTCCCAGCTACTCAGGAGGCTAAGGCAGGAGAATCGCTTGAACCCGCAAGGCAGAGGTTGCAGTGAGCCGAGATCAGGCCACTGCACTCCAGCCTGGCAACAGAGTGAAACTCTGTCTCAAAGAAAAAAGAAACAAACAAAAAAACTCTCATTACATATATTGCTGTGTGATGACAAAAAAATTTGTGGCTTAAATTTCAATCATTATTGAATGATTATAGGCTGGGCGCAGTGGCTCATGCCTATAATCCCAGCACTTTGGGAGGACAAGGTGGGCAGATCACCTGAGGTCAGGAGTTCAAGACCAACCTGTCTAAAATGGTAAAACCCCATCTCTACTAAAAGTACAAAAATTAGCTGGGCATGGTGGCGGGCACCTGTAATCCCAGCTACGTGGGAGGCTGAGGCAGGAGAATCACTTGAACCCAGGAGGTGGAGGTTGCAGTGAGCAGAGATTGCTCCAGCCTGGGGGACAGGGTGAGACTCCATCTCCAAAAAAAAAAAGCTTGAATAATTTCATTAGTTTATGGTTTCTGGCAGTCATGAATTCAGACAGGACCTGTGACAGTTTGTCTCTGCTCCCCAATGCTGGGGCCTCCACTGGGAAGACTTGAAGGCTGGGAGAGATTTCATGCCTGGGAGAGACTCAATCACTGTGTAACCGAACACTCACTTCTTACAGAGTCCAGTTAACAAGAATGAGGTCTGGTAGAGAGATAGAACTTATTAACAAAAACTAGTGAAGGCAAAGCAGTCGGATTCTATCCAAATTAACAGCTTCTGTTTTTAGGGAGAAGGCAGGGGTTTAAAAAGAGAAAACTTGATAAGGAAGGCATGCAAGAATTGGGCTGAGTACAGTGTCTGTGTGTCTCGTTCTGGTGGCTATCTTGGGGCCTGGTCCACCTGGACCCCGGGCTTACGTCATTTCAACAATGGCCAGGTTGTTAACTGGCTGCCTTGCAGTAATCTCTGGAACTTTGCAGCTGGGTCTCCAGGCTTGGTCTGTGTGTCTCAGGGCTGACCCCTGGGACCTCTAAGACACATAATTAGATACTAGTAGACAGATAGATGTGAAGGGAGTATATACGACGAGAAAGGGAGCGATGGAGTTAGTAAAAGGCTTCTGCGGTTTGCTTCAAGGTTATGTCTTTAAACCAAAGGAAAAAGGGAAATTTTTTTTAATGCAGTTTGAAGCTAAGCTGCCTGGTTACAACTGGGTACTGGAATCATCTGGAGGAATCTTCCCCCACCTATCTGGCAGGTGACGCTGGGACTTCATCTAGGCTGTTGGCCAAACACCTCTCCATGTGGTCTTTGCTTCCCCACAGCAAAGTGCCAGGGTCCCAAGAACGACCATCCCAAGAGGACAAGACAGAACCACATCACCTTTTGTGACTTGCTCTTTGAAGTCACATGATACCACTTCCTGTAGGGCTGATGGCCCACAGGGTCGTGGGGTGTCCCTTATGCTGTGCTGAGGTGTAAGATCCGAGAACTAAAGAGACAGGACACAGAAGTACAAGGAAAATGCAGCCGGGCTTGAGGGGCCACGCCACCTATGAGCAGAGTCAGGTGAGGCCCTGAATGTCCAGAAGCATGAGTATCTATTGTGTATAGGTTAGGGGGCAGGGCAGTGAGTGAAATCATCTTTAAGGACAGTGATAGGGTCATGAGCAATAAAACAAGAGATCCACCCCCATTAGGTCGCCTAGGCTGGGAGGGGGACAGTGTGCAGCAAGGGGTCCATTCCCATTAGGTCACCGAGGCAAGGGCAGTGTACAGTAAGGGGTCCACCCCCATTAGGTCACCAAGACATGGAGGTGGGCCATGCTCAGTGAAGAGCGTGCAGTGTGCAATACCTCTATCTATGGGCAAGCTACTAAGATTTACAGGAGGATGCTTTAAGTCACACAGCAGTGACAGAGCTGTCAGGGTCTACGCCACCTGCTGGCAGCTTCCAATGAGTTCTATAGGGGAATGCTTTTCGAGCAGCACAGTGACAAGAGCTGATAAAGTTCACAGTCACCAAGGTGGATTGCTGTTCTGAGGGCAGCCTTCCATAAGAACTGGAGCAAGGTCCTGCAACTCCTTTATCAGGAGGAGTGGCTCTTGCCCCAAGCCTCCCATACAGCAGGTATCTTTACGATACAGAACGCTGCCGCCTGGGCCATGGATTCTTGTCCTGGTGTAACGGTTTTCCCTTAAATCATGCTCTGCACTGTGTCTGCTCTAGGCATTCCTCCGATTATAAGCTGCTTATTCCTTAATTCATGCTCTGTACTGCATCTACTCTAGGCATTCCTCAGATTATGAACTAAGATATAGTTTTATATATATATATGGAAATAACTGAGTGGTAACACTATGAATTGAGATATTCTCCACATCTTTTTTATTTTTATTTTTTTGTTTTAAAAAGACGGGGTTTCACCATGTTGGTCAGGCTGGTCTTGAACTCCCAACCTCAGGTGATCCGCCCACCTTGGCCTCCAAAGTGCCTGGATTACAGGCGTGAGCCACCACACCCGGCCAATATTCTCCAGATCTTAATTGTGCCAGGATTCTGCTTAGCTCTCCTTCCCCAGTGCCTACATTGGGGGTTACCTACAACTTCCATTATAGTCACAGGCTCACCCAGATTCAGAATAAGGGGACACAGAACCTCCCAATGAGAACCATCAGTGGCACATTCTAAGGGGAACATGTGGGATGAGAGACGTTGAGGGCTCAGTATCCAAAAACATCACTTTAATCCTCTCTTCCCATTAGTGACCAAAACAAAATCTGGCATTGAAGGCACTCTGCACTTTGGCCCCAAATACCTTCCCTTCTTTACCTCCTGTATTATTTCCTCCATTCAGGTCAGAGGGAACTACTCAGTCACCCACACTTGTCAGACTCATTCTTCTTTTGCCTTTTTTCTCAACTAATCCCTCTTCTTTACACCTGAGAAATTCTACCTCTCACTTAAGTTACTGTTCACTGCTGGGCGCAGTGGCTCACACCTGTAACCCCAGCACTTTGGGAGGCCGAAGTGGGTGGATCACCTGAGGTCAGGAGTTCAAGACCAAACATAAGCCAGGTGTGGTGGTGGGCACCTGTGATCCCAGCTACTCAGGTGGCTGAGGCAGGAGAATTGCTTGAACCAGGGAGGCAGAGATTGCAGTGAGCCAAGATTGTGCCACTGCATTCCAGCCTGTGTAACAAAGCGAGACTCCATCCCAAAAAAAAAAAAAAAAAAAAAAAGTTACTGTTCGCTGAATTATGCAGAATGAACTAAGGTGGCAGGCAGGGGCCCTCAGAGATGCCATAAGTTACACCACCTGAGGATGCTTTCAGAGCACCACCTGCATGTGGCTCTGCCACCTTGCCTTGGCTCACTTCCCTGTGTGCTTAGAAAGCAGAGACGATAGGCAAGATCTCAAAATGTAACTTACTTCTAAGCTATCTCCTTTCCAAAGCCCAGATCCCCCAACAATTTTGCACCCAACATGAAGGGGACAGATTCTGCCCAAAGGGCTGCTTTCTGGGAGAGGTTGTAGGCAGATGACTTGATACGAACCCAGATCTACTCAACCTTCTAGCCTGAAAAACCCTAAACATGAATAGTAGATAGTTTACATAGGGACAGAGGCTGAATGAGCAAAACGGTGGAGTGACGGGTAATGAACACATAAACAAGCACGACAGCTTCAGTAAAGAAGATAAAATGCTGCGAGTATGTGCTGATGGTACGGTACCGCTTTAACTACGCTCCTCAGAGAAATCCTGACTGGTGAAAAGCAGAGAGAGACCAAGGTGAAAATTCTCCCCAAAGTGTGAACCTGATTATAATTTTTCTAAATTTAATTTTTAGAGCTAGAGTCTTTATCTCTCACCCAGGCTGGAGTGCAGCGGTGCAATCATACCTCATTGCAGCCTCAAACTCCTAGCCTCAAGCCAGCCTCCTGCCTCAGCCTCCCAAAGTGGTAGAGTTACAGGTGTGAGTCACCGTGCTGACCGTCATCATCATTTTTTTTTTTTCTTTTGAGACGGAATCTCACTCTTTTCTCCAGCCCAGGTTGGAGTAAAGTGGCTTACTCTCAGCTCACTGCAACCTCCACCTCCCGAATTCAAGCGATTCTTGTGCCTCAGCCTCCTGAGTAGCTGGGATTACAGGCGCCTGCCACCACGCCCAGCTAATTTTTGTATTTTTAGTAGAGACGGGGTTTCATCATATTGACCAGACTGGTCTCGAACTCCCGACCTAAGGTGACCCACTCACCTTGGCCTCCCAAAGTGCTGGGATTACAGGCGTGAGCCACCCCGCCCAGCCTTCATCATAATTTATGTCCAAAAATGTATGCATCAGCAGTAACAGTGGAAGCCAGAATGAAAAAGGGAGATGATGAGACGGGTAAAGTCTGAAGTGGTTGGAACCGTTTTGGGAAACAGGACAGGAATGACAGCAATTAAGAGGCAGGTCCACACTGAACAGTCAAGAGAAAGTGAAAGTAGAGCCCCAAGAGTAGGAGAAGGAAATTAGCTATACAGCAATTCCACTCTGGTTGGCTACGGTCCTAGTGCCCTCCTCACCATGGCACAGCAACTCCTCCACCTGCTGAGGACTCCAGCGCCCCCGAGCCCCCACCCCCGCACCCCAGCTCCCACGAGGGCCAAGGGTTCTCGCTCCGCCCCGCAAGGAGGACTTCCGCGTCCTCCGCCGGCCCGCCCCCTCCCCGGAGGTTCTGCGCATGTGCGGGGGCCATATTAGCAGCGGATACTCTGGCAGCGCTGGTGATTTTTCTCCCGCGGAGTTAAGGGCTCCGTGGACGTCACAAGTCTTCACGGTCTTCCCTCTGGTGAGCCTTTGCCCCCTGGGGGCCCGCGGAAGCCTGGCCGCTCGCTCCTCGGGCGGGGCTCGTGAACTGCAAGCCCGTCGGTCTCGGCTGCAGCCGCCGCCAAGAGCCGTGGGCACGATGACTCTGCACCGCCTCCTCGGGGACTGAGTGGCCCCCGCCGGCCGCCGTCGGGGGCTTCCCGGTGCCGAATCTGGACGCTGGGGCGGGCTGAGGGCGGGGGTCTGTGGGCAGGACCGAGGGGTCTGGGCGGCGTCCGGCCCCGGGAGTTCGGTAGGTGAAAGTTAGCGCTCCCGGTGCCGGTGAACTCCCGATCGTGCTGTGCCAGCGTCCGGCGTGGAGACAGCAGAAAGTGGCGCTTGCGCTCGCATCCGAAACCGCCGCGAGTGTCTGTGTCCTCCCTGCTTCTCTGCTCTGGGCCATCCTTCCTTTGCACCTTCCTATTGCAGCTGTCTCAGCCAGTTCGCTGCCCTCGGCCTCACCAGCCTGAGTGATCATTTAAAATGCCAATTAGTTCCTGTGTCCCTTGGGAATCATTCAGAGGAGCCCCTTGACTGAGAGATGAAACTCAGTTTTCACGTGGGCACCTGGGCTCTCCAGGATTTGATTCCAGCTTGCCTTTCCAGTCTTCATTTCCTGTATTCCAGTATTTGGGAATGTGGGCTTTGGACTGAGGCTTTTCTACCAGATAGCGCTGCGCACCCAGTGTTGTCTTTTGCACGAATGGTACTCATGTTGCCCCAGATAACCGCCTTCAGCCCCAAGTTCAGGACCCAGATCACTCTCTGGAGAAGGCCTAAGTCTCTTCACTTGGCATTCAAGGCTCTGCGTGATTTGGATACTCGCTTAGCTCTTATATGTATATATTTTCAAAGATCAGCAGTTTGTCTCATGCCCACTAAGTTATCCTGCCTCAGTAGCCTTTGTTCATACTTTCTGCGCCGTCTGGAATGCCCTTCCCCTCTTTCATCCCCTGTTCTTTTTCTTAGACCCAAGAGTTCTTGGCCGTTTTTGTGCCTCTCCTGTCTCTTGATTTACTTTCATTTTCTGTAGCGGCTTCTCAAAAAATGCTTTCTTGATTTTTCTTCATCCCTTTTCCCACCCTACCCTCGGTTCCTCTTTCCACATTATAATCTATGTCTGCCTCTGTCACCTAACTGCCAGTATTGGCTCTTCATGACAAGAATTTGTTTTACACATTTTGGTATTCCAGCATCTAGCATAATGCCTGACACTTAGCTGAATAAAGGGAGTAAATAAAACAGATTTGTAAAGTCAGCAAATGCTTTTTAATTTGTGAATCTTATTTTAATGATGATCCGATTTTCTTTTTACAGGAACTAGATAAAGTTCAGAAAACATGGTGAGTTAATGCCAATAAACTGTTGCCTGATAAATAGTATTGTACGCAGCTTACAGACTTGTGTGGGAAAATTGAAATGCAAGGAAAGCAGTGGGATGGCGCTTTCTTTCTTGTCAGTTTCCTCTCACCCATTGAACTTTGTATGCCAGGATAGGTTCTGTAAGATAATTTGTAGGCTTGCAGGAGCTGGTTTACTTTCAGTGGATAGGAATCACTTGTGTGTTTTTCCTTTGCAGTCTCGAAGATATGACTCCAGGACCACTATATTTTCTCCAGAAGGTAAAATGGAAATTGTTTAATCTGCCTCAAGTTAAAAAAAAAAAATGTGTTAGACTTTTAGAAAAAAAAAAAATGTACAAACTTTTTGTAGTTGCAAAGTTCCTCCCTTTTGTTCTTTGAAGCAATTATGGTCACCAGATTGATTATACCCTAGAAGAGTAAAAGTGGGACCTTTGTTTCTAGCTTGCTTCATTGCTGATTTCTTTTGGGCCAGTGATTGGAGAGCACAGAGGAGAGTCTTGGCTTCTCACTCCTTTTGTTTTGTAGGTCGCTTATACCAAGTTGAATATGCCATGGAAGCGATTGGACATGCAGGCACCTGCTTGGGAATTTTAGCAAATGATGGTGTTTTGCTTGCAGCAGAGAGACGCAACATCCACAAGCTTCTTGATGAAGTCTTTTTTTCTGAAAAAATTTATAAACTCAATGAGTAAGTGAGATTTTAGGAAAGAGTTTTAAAAAATATCTCACTCACATAAGTGGGAGCTATGTAATTTGGGAGGGCTCTTCCCTGTGATGTGGTAGAATTGAAGTTGTGCCTTTATTTTGCTTGAAACCTCTTTGAGGCCTGGTACCAGGTGTTACTCCTTTTAAGTGCAGAGCAAACACTAAGTGGAGAAACCAGCATTGTGTAATGATAAGTGTACAGACTTAGTCACAGAGTTTTGGGTTCAAGTCCAGGCTTCACCCATACAGGCTATGTGACCTTGCACCAATTATTTAATTTCTTTCCTTTTTTTTTTTTTTAAGACGGGGTTTCACCATATTGGTCAGGCTGGTCTTGAACTCCCAACCTCAGGTGATCTGCCTGCCTTGGCCTCCAAAGTGCTTGGATTACAGGCATGAGACATTTAATTTGTTTGGGCCCCAGAGCCTCCTAAAGTGGTTGTGGCAGTTTAATGAAATAAAATGAATGAAATACAATAGTATAGTGTTTGACATATAGTAGGTCCTCAAAGTATTGTTTAGAATACCTATGCAGAGTCTGGGTGCTGTGGCTTACGCCTGTAATCCAAGCACTTTGGAGGCCAAGGCGGTCGGATCACCTGAGGTTGGGAGTTCAAGACCAGCCTGACCAATATGGTGAAACCCCGTCTTTAAAAAAAAAAAAAAAAAGGTAGAATAGCTACAGGAGATTTTGTTGCTCTATACTGAATCTTACTAAAGAACAAGCCTCCTGGAGGTCTGGGAAGAATTTAGCTAAGCTTTGTACACTTTGTGAGAATTTTGTTATATTTGGATTTGCAGAACTTTGCAGCTCATGGAGAGCTGGCTGTGCTAATAAGAGCCTTTCCCTTCAGTGGTGGGCTTGGTAAATGCCGATTATCAGGGCCTTTTGATAAACTTGTTCAAAGTGGTGTCACCCCTCCACAGAGCCTCTGATGGGCCCACTCAACAGCTAGCAGGCATGGCTAGGCATAGTCACAGCGCAAGTCTCAGCTGTAAGAAAGCCAGGGCAGCCCTCAGGAAATGAGCCAAAAAAAAGGGAAATACGGCTGGGCACGGTGGCTCACGCCTGTAATCCAAGCACTTTGGAGGCCAAGGCGGGCAGATCACCTGAGGTTGGGAGTTCAGGACCAGCCTGACCAACTTGGTGAAACCCCGTCTTAAAAAAAAAAGGGGGGAAATACACCTCTAATAGGTGCATAGCCCTGTGCTTCCTAGGCAGGCTTTAAACCCTCCTGTCATTGTCCCCTGTTACCTCCTTCCAGCAGACCTTAGGGAATGAATACTGCTCAAGAGCAGTCTGTCTAGCAAAATCTTTTTTTTTCGCCGAGACAAATTCTTGCTCTGTCACCCAGGGTGGAATATGGTGATGCCATCTCGGCTCACTGCAACCTCTGCCTCCCGGGCTAAAGTGATCCTCCCGTCTCAGCCTCCCAAGTAGCTGGGACTATAGGTGTGCACCGCCACACTCAGTTTTTTATTTTTTGTTAAGATGAGATTTTGCCATGTTGCCCAGGCTGTTCTTGAACTCCAGAGGTTGCAGTGAGCCGAGATGGCATCACCATATTCCACCCTGGGTGACAGAGCAAGAATGTGTCTCGGGGAAAAAAAAAGATTTTGCTCGACAGACTGCTCTTGAGTAGTATTCATTCCCTAAGGCCTGCTGGAAGGAGGTAACAGGGGACAATGACAGGAGGGTTTAAAGCCTGCCTAGGAAGCACAGGGCAACCATGTTGCCCAGGCTGTTCTTGAACTCCTGGGCACAAGCCCTCTGTTTACCTCGGCCTCCCAAAGTGCTGGGATGACAGGTGTGTGCCATTGTGGTCGGCCTGTCTTTGTTCTTTGTTGCTAAATCTTGAGATTTACTTTAGCTTCTTGGCGTTGATTCTGTTACCCTATTTACTGGGTGGTAATGATAAATACATCTGTTAAAGAAATTAAGGGTGCATTGGTTAATCATTCACGTTGAATGACATCAAGTAAATGTCTCCTACAAAAATAAAACTTGTAGGTCTTTTCTGAAGGAAGTAGCCACCGTGAAGCAAGTGTAGTAAATATCTAATAGAACTCTGTGCTTTTTTAATACTTGTAGCGCTCCTCACAAATGTCTTGCCTGCTTACAGATCAATATCTTTTTTTCTTTAAGGGACATGGCTTGCAGTGTGGCAGGCATAACTTCTGATGCTAATGTTCTGACTAATGAACTAAGGCTCATTGCTCAAAGATATGGTCATAAATAGCATAACTGATGATAAAAATCAGTTTTGATGTTTCTAAGGAGAGCTCACTTTTGCAAAGAGTAAAGTCATTAAAAATATTTTAATTGAAAATTATAAATTTTTTAAACCAAATTTAACAAAATGTTATTTACTATGAGAATATTCGGATGTTGACTTGTTTCCTCTCCTTCAAATTACAAACAACTATTAGGTTGTCCCTACGGCATAGATTGCTTTCCAGAGAGTATTTACCTTAGAGTCTGTCTGTGCTTTAGAGAAAACTAATGTGCCAATCTCTTTATCCTAGGTATTTATTACAGTATCAGGAGCCAATACCTTGTGAGCAATTGGTTACAGCACTGTGTGACATCAAACAAGCTTATACACAATTTGGAGGTACGTAATTTTTTTGAAAATTTTATTCCAAAAAGTTAAGACATTTTATGACTTATAACATTTTTGAGGTAGTAAAAAATTGAAAAATAGACCCTTTTGTTTTAAATTAAATTTTTTAAATTGGCAAATAATAATTGTATATGTTCATAGGGTACATAATGTTTCAGTACATACAGTGATCAGATCAGGATAATTGGCACATTCATCATCTCAAACACTTCGTTCTGTTGGGAGCCTTCCATATCCTTCTGGCTATTCAAAACTAACATGTTACAGTTAACTATATTAATCTTACAGTGGTGTAGAACACTAAAAATCCCTACGTTCTTATTTCATGAGTGAATCTGTTTCCTCCACCATGTAAATTACCATCATTTTATTAACAGGGTATGTAAAGTCCGAGATAACATTTTTAAATCTGGAAGCTAACTGCTGTTTCCATAATAACGAAATTCAGCCCTGGTCCTCTGTCTATTCCCTCTCCTGGCTGTGTCCAAATCATAGAAACAAAAGTGGAATTGGTAATAGAGCAAAACAGTTTATGAATGCCTAAGTTCACAGAGAAGGGCTTAGCTACGTTCACTGAGCTCAAGTAACTACAGTGATACTAAATTTAGATTATTGATATATTTGGCTTTTTTTCTTTGTTAAAGGAAAACGTCCCTTTGGTGTTTCATTGCTCTACATTGGCTGGGATAAGCACTATGGTTTTCAGCTCTATCAGAGTGACCCCAGTGGAAATTACGGGGGATGGAAGGCCACATGCATTGGAAATAATAGCGCTGTGAGTATTTTTGTTGTGCTATAAAATCTAGCAGAAGGTCTAATAACTGCCGTAATTTTGCAGTGGTGATGAATGTAAACAATATTTTACGATAGCTACAACAACCTTAATGTGATGTGGAAATATTTGTGATTTCTGTTGGTGACAGAATTGCCAGTATAGCTAATATACCGGGGTTTGTTAACTACATTAATAATTAAATGCCAATTTTCAATTCAGAGTTGTGAAATTAAAAGTTGTAATTTTGTTTCACAACCTAGTTTACAGATCCCCTGAATTCTATGACAGACCCCTTGGGAGACTGAGGTACTTTATAGAGCATCAGTACCCACTCCTCTCACCTCGTACCGTGTGTGCCTTGCCTGTCATCAAAATTCTTTATATGGGCCAGGCATGGTGGCTCATGCCTGTAACCCCAACACTTTAGGAGGCTGAGGCAGGTAAATGGCTTGAGCCCAGGAGTTTGAGACCAGCCTGGGCAACATGGCAAAACCCCATCTCTACAAAAAAAAACAAAAATTAGCTGGGTGCTGTGGCATGTGCTACAGCCAGGTAATCCTAGCTACCCAGGAGGCCAAGGTGGGAGGAGGACCACCTGAGCCTGGGGAGGCTGAGGATACAGTGAGCTGAGATCACACCACTGCACTCCAGCCTGGGTAACAGAGTGAGCCCCTGTCTCAAA